AATTGATTATTGATCAAAGAAAGACATATTGTAAACATCAATTATTTTTACATTAATTGCGTAAGCTTCTAAGGCTATCTATTAGTTTGATTAAATTAAATTATTTTTTATTAAAGATAGGATGTCAGCTTTATTTTTTTAAGGTTTTATTTATTTATTTTTAGAGAGAGGGGGAAGGGAAGGAGAAAGAGAGGGAGAGAAACATCAATGTGTGGTTGCCTCTTGCACGTCTCCTACTGGGGACCTGGCCCGCAACCCAGGCATGTGCCCTGATTGGGAATTGAACTGGCGACCCTTTGGTTCACAGTCCACACTCAATCCACCAACCTGCACCAGCCAGGACTAAATTAATTAATTATTTTTTAGATAAAAGAAAGGAGAGAGAGAAAGAGAGGGAGTAAAACATCAATGTGAAAGAGATAGATGGGGGGGTGGGATGGGAGAAATAGATAAAAAAATGTACTTGAAAAATAACTAAATAAAATTTATAAAAAAAAAAAAGAGATAGATGGATCAGCTGCCTCTTGTACTGACCCTGACTGGGGACCGAACCTACCACCCAGACATGTGCTGGAAATAGGAATCAAACTGGCGATCATTTGCTTTGCAAAATGATGCCCAACCAAATGAGCCACACCAACCAAGGCTGACCTATTAGTTTTGTGTACCTAAGCTTAACCAATGTTTTTGCCTACAAATAAATAAAATTGATCAGTATTTTAATTATTCTCCTGACATGACAATGACCTTAATGGGCCCATTGCTTAATATGCTCAATCTTATTATTGCTTATTATTTTTTACCTCATTGCTCTGGCTGCAACTTCCAGTACTACACAGAAGAGCAGTGGTGAGACTGGGTATCCTTTTCACCACTGAGCACGTTTGCTGTGAGTGTGTCATACGTGGCCTTTATTATGTCGAGGTGCTTTCTTTCTATACCCATTTTATTGAGTTGTTTAAAATCATAAAGCTATGTTGTCTCTTGTTAGATGTTTTTCCCGTATCTACTGAGATTATATTATCTTTATCATTCATTTTGTTAATGTGGAGTATCACACAGATTGATTGAGGATATCGAACCATCCTTGCATCCCTGGAATGATTGCAGTGTATGATCCTAATGTATTGTTACGTGCAATTTGCTAATATTTTGTTGAAGATTTTGACATCTTATGTTCATTAGAGATATTGGCCTATAATTTTATTTTTTTGCATTGCCCTTTCCTAATTTTGGTATCAGGGTAATATTGGCATCATAAAATGAGTTAGGAAGCATTTCCTCTTCTTTGACTTTTTGAGTTTGAGAAGGATAAGTAAACATTTAAATCTTTAAATGTTTTGTGGACTTCACAGGTGAAGCCATCAGCTCCAGGGCTTTTCTTTGTTGAGAGATTTAAAAAAAAAAAAACTGATTCAGTCTCCATAATAGTTATAGGTCTACTCACATTTTCTTTTTCTTCATGATTTAATCTTGGGAGTTTTTATGGTCTCTATAATTTGTCTATTTTATCTATGTTACCTAGTTTATCAGTGTACAACTGTTCATAGTACTTGCTCATAATCTTTTTTGTTTCTGTAGAATTAGTAGTAATGTCCCCACTTTCACTTCTTATTTTAGTAAGTTGTCTTTTTTTTTCTTAGTCCGTCTAGGCAGAGGTTTGTGGATTTTGTTGATCTCTTCAGAGAGCCAACTTTTGGTTTCACTGATTTTTTTCTATTGTTTTTCAGTTCTGTCTTTCATTCACCTCTACTTCATTCTTTATTTTTCCTTCCTTCTGCTAGCTCTGGGTTTAGTTTGTCCTTTTTTTCTTCTAGTTCCTTAAGTTGTAAAGTTAGGTTGTTGACTGGACTTCCTTCTTGTTTTTAAAGGTAAGCACTTCTAGCGATAAATTTCCTCCTACCACTGCTTTCTCTAGTCCCTTAAGTTTTGGTAAGTTGTGTTTTCATTGTCATTCATCTTTTCCCTTGTAACTTTCTCTTTATTTGTTGTTTAAAAGCGTGATATTTGATTTCCACAATTTTGTGAATTTCCTGGTCTTCCTTCTTAAAATTGATTTCTAATTTCATCCTGTTGAGGTTAGAGGACATACTTTGTACACCTATATTTTAAAATCTACTGAGACTTAATTTGTGGCCTAATTAGAGTCTACCCTGGAGATTGGTTCCTGTGCACTTCAGAAGACGGTGGGTTCCACTGTTCTTGGGCAGGTTCTTCTATGTATGTCTGTCAGGTCTAGTCGGTTTACTGTGTTATTTAGGTCCTCTATTTCCTTGCTTATTTTTCTTTCTGGTTGTTCTATTCAGTATAGTGAGTGAGGTTTTGAAATCTCCAAATATAATTGTTGAACTGTTAATTTCTCCCATCAATTCTGTCAGTTTTTACTTTGTATATTTTGAAGGTCCGTCACTAGGTTTATAATTATACTTCTTGCTGTATTGAAACTTATTCATATATAATGTCCTACAGGTCTCTTGTCACCTTTTTTACTCCAAGTCTAGTTTGCAGGTATCTGTGTGACACAGTGGATAGCGCATTGGACTTCTAAAGCCTATTTTGTGTGAAGTTAGTAAATATCAGCAGAGAGCTTCAGCAGGCGCTTTCCTGGCCATCCAACTGGACGTATGAGATGCTCAGCCTGAACAGTCTTCAGGCACATGAATGCAGATGAAAACCACATGTTGCTAAAAGTCACATAGCTACGGAATTCGAACCTAGGCAGCCTACCAATTTCGCTCCCTCTATTTACTCATATATAAATTGGGAATATTAATGTTTATCCTCAGGAACTTACTGTCCAAGGAAGAATAAGTGAAATAACAGAAAAATTGGTAATTATCTACTGAAACATAGTTAATTGTGTACTGAAAATCCAAAGCAGATATACACTGACCATATATTTTACCTAAAAATCAGCACAACCAGACTTAACAAAATGTTCATAAGCCTTTCAATGTATCAGTTCCGTTGTCATATCTTTGTCAACTCCCTCTGATTGTGGGGTGCGCTGCCGGGTTAACCCATCGAGAGTCTCATTTCGTAAAGGACAGAGACCAGACACTGTGAATCTGGCCTCATCCTCTCTCACTGCGCCCTGTTAAGAAGCTTTACTCAAGCACATCTGCTGTTGCATGTAGACTCTCCTCCCCAGATTAGGTACCACTTAGCTAAAGACACAATCTCATTTAATTCTGGGAACAACCCCATTAGTTAACTCACCTATTATTTTCTCACCTATGATGTGGTTTCCACTTTACAAAAAATCGAGGCTTAGAGTGAATAAGCCACTCATTCAAAGTCACTGAAATGTTGAGGGGTGAAGCGGGGATGTGAAGCCACGTCTGCCCAACTCCCAAACCCAGATTCTGTCACTGGGGCCCACTGTCCACCAACAGCGTGAACTGTTGTCTTTGTGGGCCCCAAAAGGTGGGTCCCCGCCCCTCTTCACAAGGAACGCTGTTGGCTAGTTTGCTCCTGGGAGCTGCGCAGACCCTCTCGCTCAGGGGAATAGCTCCTCGAAAAGACACATGTTGAGAAACGGGGTGGTGTGTGTAGGGTTTAGGGGTTGTGGGGATGCGGGTGGGGGCGAGTCTCTAGAACTTTTACCCAAACCCCCAGCTACCACTGCGTCTGATCTTAGGTAAGCAAGGGCCCCTCTTTCCAGTGTGCATCCCACCCACACCGCTTCCCCAGGGCTCTCCTGCAGCTGTTCGGTCATCTCTGACCCAGCAGCCCTTGGCCGGACCACAGTAAGGCTAGACCCAGGACCCATCGGGCCACCAGCCCATCGTTTCATCCAGTCACACGGTCCAGGCTGCCTGCGGGGCCAGGGTGGCGGGGGCGGGGGAGATGCTCAGAAGGCGGAGCCAGTATTTGTGGAAGACGAAAAGCAGGGTGGGGCAGGCAGCTGCCCACCCAGCAAGGTTCCTCTGGCCCCTACTTGGCAGAGCAGAAAGGGAATGTTTGTGTCCCCGCTGACACCTATTGACAATGACCAGGAAGCGCCCTGCACCTGAGTAGTTTCAATGTTAGGAACTGATCTGGGGAGACAGAGTGCAATGGTCACGCTGGCCGTCACATATCCCTCTGAGCACCACAGCCACCTTATAGCGCTGGTCCCGCATAGGCCAAGTGTGAATGCTTTGCGTGTGTTACTCGTAATCTACACAGCAACTCCGTGAAGTAGCTACTCTCAGCACTATTTTACAGGTGAGGAGCACAAACAGTAACTTGTGACTCACCAGGAACAACAGCTAGTGAGTACTGGTTATATCCACCGGTAAAACAGGGACAGAATGCCTGCCCATCAACCTACAGAAGGCAAGGAGTTTTGTGGGCCGTTGACGCCCGTGCATGGACAGTACGTTAGCATTAAAGTCTGGAGCTGTTACAGTTCTTCCCTTTCCACCTATTTGGACATAGAAAAGCCCTTTCCGGTGGAGCCTAGATAATGGGGGTGCAGATGGTTCCTGGAAAGATCCAAAAGAATTTGGTGTCCGCAGACAGGAAAAATAGCTGGGGGGACAGAGTGGGAAATTTACTTTTCACTGTGCTTGTAAACAAGATATTTAAATTTAATTAAACATTTTAAACGTCTGTGCAGTCACGGGTCAACCTGGCTGGGGCTTCTGTTTCAAAGGCGCCCAGTGGCGGGGTGGCTCGCCCAAGAGCGCCGGGGAGCTACAGCGTGCCTCCCTCCCTCGGCACCGGGGTGCGCCTTTGCAATGAGGAACAGCGAGGGAGGGTGCTCCTTGGCGCTGCGCTCGCCTCGCCTTTCCCGACCCGCGTCCGGACAGCACGGCTTTGTAAGGGGGCTCCGCAGCTCCCGGGAGGCCCCATCTGGGCGGAGATAGAAAAGGCCGTCTGCCCCGCCCTGTCCCGCCCCGCCAAATTTAAGAGCCCCTGCCCACAGCTGGGCCAGTCCTGGCCAGCAATCTGTCCCCCTTTTGCAGGGTGTTCTCACTCGCCTCCCGCCCTCCCCGCCGAGCGTCGGTCGGGCCATGCCCGGCCCCGGGGAAGATCAGGTCCAGCCCCCGCGCTCAGGCTGCTCTCCGGCCCCCCGGTCTCCCGCGCTCCATCGCGGCTCCGCGGACCTTGGCAGGTCGCGCACCCCTCGACACCTCGAGCCCTTTTCCGTCGAGGCCATCCTGGCGAGGCCCAAGGCCCGCGCGCCCGCTGCCTCCCCGCTGTCCGTCTCCGCCTGCGCCGCCTCGGGCACCTGGACCGCTCCCTCCGGGCCTCTGGCCCCGGTTCTGCCGTGGGCGTGCGCGGCGGCATTGCTGCCCGCCTACCTGAGCGTGGGGCTCTACCAGCAGTTCTCCCAGCCTCCTGCGCCGGGGCTGCGCGTGGTTCACCTCTGCGGCCTCCAGGGCCCCGGCCTCACAGGTATGAGGTGGCCCGGCCGCAGCGTCCAGGGAAGCAGGCGGGGTAGCTGAAGAGTGGAGACCCCGACAGGAGGGAGGCACGGGATAGAGAAGTCCCTGAGTTCGAGAACCACACACGGCTTGAGTGGGAAGTGGCCCTATGACCCTTGACCTTGCAGCTGAAACTGAGGCCCTTAGAGTAGTACTCGCGGAGAACAGCCCCTGGCGCCGGACCTCCCCTGCAGGCTGCAGAGGTGGGAGCAGGTGTGTGTGAGGGCGGGTGCGGAGTGAGAAATGCGGGTGGGCCGGAGCAGGGCTCCGACCCCTACAGGGGCCCGAAGCGTAGAGGGGCCGGGTGGGGGGGGGCCGGGGCTGGGGCTCCGCGTCCTGGAGGAGGGATTTGTAAAGTCCTTTGCTCTCCCCCACACCCCCCCCCCCCCCCGCCCTTAGACAAAGCCCTGTGGCTCAGGCTACTCCCCAAAGCTGCTCTGAGACCGGAGAAGCAGATGCTACAGGTGGTGCTGTTCAGCAGGGAGCTGCTGGGGGCTGGCCCGTCCCCAGACCCCAAAGTCGCCTCCACCGCTCACATCTGTATGAACTTATCTCCACACTGAACGGCTCTGGGCCTGCTTGCTTATAGTGCTCTTAGAATGGTACCTTAGGTCTTGGGAGCTCAGAAGCTTAAATCCTGATGAGAATTTCACTGTTGAGGTAAATTTCTCCCCTAACATTAACATCTATAACAGTTTTTGCAATTTTTGGTTCTCTGGTTCATGCTTCCCATGTCTCCCTGAGGGAAACCAGCAAAATTAGTGCAAGCCTCATCAACCCACACCAAGGTCATTTTTATACAATCTTACCTGACTTCTGCTCCCTGCGCCTCACCCATCTTGTGTTTCCTCCACCCCTTGCAGCTGGGCACCCCTCTCACCCCTGCTGCAGAGGAAGCCTGGTGTCCCAGCCCTGGCCAAACCCATGCCACTAAAACTGGAAGCCATGGCCATCATCCCAAGTCACATTTTCTCAACCTCCCCGCATGCCTGAGGTCTGAATTGCAGTTAACTACTTTAAAGTAGTCTCATTTTTCAAGTTCATTTTTGTTTAGGTACTGCATTCACACTGTTCAAATGTCAAAGTGTTTACTAAGATAGATGGAGTGGCTGAACTCCAGTCACCTAGTTCCCCCCACCCCACAAGCAACCAACAATACCAGTTTCCCCTCCCTTCCTTCCTTGTTTCCTTCCCTCCTTCCTCTCTCTCTCTCTCTTTCATCTTCACCCAAGGATATTTTTATTGATTTTTTTAAGAAAGAGAGAAAAGGAGAGAGATAGAGATGTCACTGCTGTGAGAGAGAAACATTGTTTGCCTCCCACGGGTGCTGCAAACTGGGATCAAACCTGAAACCTAGGTGTGTGTCCTGACTGAGAATTGAACCCACAACCATTTTTTGTGAGGGATGATGCACCAACCATCTGAGCCACTCGGTCAGGGCACAGCAGCTTCGTTATTCTTCCAGAAGTATTTCATGCATATTTAGTACCTGAATACACCTGTTTTCCCCATACTAGACACACTGCTCTCCACCTTATGTTTTTCACTTGACCATATATAGCTGGGGGTTTTTCCATATCAACCAATACAGAGCTTCTTTACATCTCAAAGTGGCCTGTTGTGAGGATGTACCATGATTTATTTAATCAGGCCCCACTGACTTTTCTCATCTCTTGCTATTATGCTAATGCTTATGGCAAGCCTGTGGTTGGTGTCCTGGGCAGCCACGGCCCAGGCCTCAGTCTCGTCTCTGGAGCGGTCTGTCTGCCAACACTGGAGCCTCGCCAAGGCTAAAGGGAGCGGAAGGGTCTCAGCGATGCACTTCTGCTCCTTTGTCTGGAACACTGGGTGTGTAGGCCCAAAGGCTGCCTTTCCCATTCCTTCCCAGTTATAACTTAGGTACTGCCCCCTGGTGGACAAATCTTCATCCCCGCAGGCCCACATCTCGGTGAGCTGAACAGCACCTTTGTATGCAGGAGAAAAAGGCACCTCTTCCTTCAGGCAGACACAGAACCTTGTCAGGGGGCAACACTTGACCTGTGGGGAGTGGGCAGAACTTCAGACTCCATTTACCCTCTCAGCTGGGCACCCAAATGTGGGACACCAGCTGTACATAGTGGCCCTGTTCCAATGTCCCCTCAGTGGGTGGCTCCTCTTTCTAAGATGCACACTATCCCCTTTCCCTGCCAATATACACACACATTCCCCTTCTCCTTTCCTGATTTGTTTTTCTCATTAGCACTAATCACTGTCTGATACAGTATTTTTCCTTTTCTACAGTTCACAGGGATTTTCTGTTTTGTCCTGGGACCATGCCTGGCACATAATAGCCATTCAAAAGTTATATGTTTAGTGAATGAAAAGGGGGACCCCTGAGGGTCCCTCCTCTGCCCATCCCATGGCGTTTCCTGAGGTAGCCAAGGAAAGGAGTGGGGGGCGAGGGGAGATGGAGGCTTGGCAGTTCCTCTCGGGGCCAGGGCTGAAGCCACTCGGCGGGAGAACAGTGGGGGCAGCAGGAGTCTCACAACACTGTCCCTTCGGCCTCACTCGTTCTTGTTCTCATTTCTGCGCAGTCTCTTCCCACGGTGCCTCTCTTAACTGGCCAACGGCAAGGCAGGGCCATGGAGCTGCGAGCTTGTTCTGCCTCCCCAAGATGGGCGGGTAGGTGGGTGCTGGCTAACCTCCCCTCCTGCTGGGTGCTCTTTAGGTTTGGAGCTGGATCACTGCCCAGGCCACTGGAGTCCCCCAGACTGGGCCCCGGTCAAGGACCTTCAGGACACCGAGAGACCCAAAAAGAGGGTTCGAACTTTGTTTAACTTGGAACAGCTGCAAGAGTTGGAGAAAGTGTTTGCCAAACAGCACAATCTAGTAGGGAAGAGCAGAGCCCAGCTGGCAGCCCGGCTCAACCTTACAGAGAACCAGGTAGGAGAAGGGAGTTCTGTGGGGCCTGGGCTGCACCTGAGGACAGACGCTACTCTCCAGAAGGCCCTGGGTGGCGGTTGGGACAAGGACATGGTCTTTCTTCCTCTGTGCCAGGAAGCTGGGGGAGAGTAATTATGGCCATACTCCCTGCACGAATGAGAAAGAGTCCCATTAGAAATTACTTATGGGGACAGCACATGATATTAATCTAGAACTTTATACCTTCATGCTAAATAAGGAGCTGACAGCAAAATTAAGTAGGCATTCGAAGAACTAAACATTTAAAATAATACAAACTTCTTAAGAAGTAGTTACGTTCATTGTCTCCATGTCCTCACTTCCCATCTGTTCCTTAACTCATTCCAATATGAATTCTCTCCCTGCCGTTCCTTCAGAACTTCTCATCGAGGTCTCTCATGACCTCTGGGTTGCCAAACTCAGGAGATGCTTTCCTTTCTGATCTCATTTCTCCACTAAGTACAGCTGACCGCTCCCGTTCTTACTGAAACACACTCTTCTCTTGGTTTCCAGACTCCGCACTCTCTCGGTTTTCCTCTCAGCTCTCTGCCCACTTCATCTCTGTTGCCTTTGTTGGCTGGTATTCTCTTTGTGACTTCAGATATTTCTCCCCGGCTGACTTCATTTATCCCCATGGTTTTAAATACCATCTATAAGCCAACGACTTCTAAATTTGTGTCTTAGCCCCCTTTTCCTGATTCATAGATCTAACGACCTTCTTGAGGTGTCCACTTGGATGTCTTATGGGGAGGCATTTCAAACTTAACAAGTCTAAACCTCAATTCCTGAATACTTTTTCTCCCCAAATCTGACCCTTGCCCCACCACCCAACCAGCTGCTCACAGCACCTAGTCACCCTACATTTACCCCTTTCCCCCCACTTCCAACCCATCAGCAAGCCTGTCAACTCTGCCTCGAAAATGCAGCTGGAATGGCTTCATTTCCCTCCACCACCCCAGTCCGTGTCAGCCCCAGCCCTTGCTGGGTCACTGCAAGAACCTCCCAGCTGTCTCCATGCCTCTCCCTTCATCCATGCTTCACACGGCAGCCAGACGTGCCATTCACTTAACACAGCAACTTTCCACCGGTGCGCCACACCAGTGTTCATGCAATACCTGACTATGTAGTTGGGGCACTACAGTCTTGTAGTCTCGTTTTCCTTAGAGTGTCAAGTTAAAAGTTGACAACAGCCAACACAACAATAGCCAACTGATGTGAATGAATCAAAATTATACCTATTTTTTGGTCAAAGTGGCAAAACATATACATACTTTCGGTGTGACTCAGAATTTTAGTAATCCGTGTATGTGTGCCATGAGATGAAAAAGGCTGAAAACTGCTGACTTAACACGTAAACAGAACTGTGCCGTATCCCACTTAAAAGCCTTGGGGTTGCCCTGGGCCTTCGTGGCACTAGGGAACCTGGCCCCTGCTGACCACTCCCACTTTCTCTTCCTCCGCTTTCCCCTCTCACTCTCTCGGCTATGCCAGCGGTGCCCGCCTCCTCTCTGGTCCTCAAATACTCCGAGCTCGGTTCCACCTCACAGCCTCCTCACAGGTCCCACGCTGCCCTGGCCTGCTTTTCTCTCTCCCTTCCAGGCTGGCCTCCGTCCTCTGAGCCTTGACTTAAGGGCTGGTTCTCCAGAGACACTCAAATCCATTTGTGCCCCCGTATGTGTTTATATATGTGTTTGTTTTCACGCTCATTATTAGTCTCGCTGCACTAGACTGTGAGCTTCCAGGGGGCAGGGGCCACATCTCTGGTGCTCACCACCGTATCATCAGCATCTAGGGCGGTGCCTAGCACATAAGAGGAACGTGATATATACTTATTGGATGAACGGATGAATGAATGGTAACTAGAATTATGGGGAAGGATGTTTTTGAGGCAATGCTTCCCTTAGAAGGAAGAACACATATTGGCCAGGGTGGAGTGCGTACTGTGGGAATGGGAGAAGCCGTGGGAACTGGCCACGTTCTGATCTCTGCCCACGCCTTCCACTTACAGGTGAGGGTCTGGTTCCAAAACCGCAGGGTCAAGTATCAGAAGCAGCGAAGGCTAAAACCACTGGCCACGTCCGCTGAGGCTGCCTCCCCAGACGAGCCCTCCAGCAGCTCTGACACCGTCACCCAGAGAGAAGACACCGAGTCAGGAGTGGGCAGCTGAGGACGGGGACGCAGGCTCCACCTGGGCGGTCGGGCTGGCTCTTCCTGGAAACACCCACTGAACCTCCCGGCCCCACATCTTAACATAGAGCCTCGTCAGGGTCAAAGGGCACCAGAGGAATCAGAACTGTTGAGAATTTTTCAATATTGACTCTCGGGAGCTGCAATAATGTAATGGTCAGGAGCACAGACTTTGGCTTTCGGCTATGACCTTGGCCACATTACTGAACTTCTGAGCCTTTTTTTCTTCACCTGTATAATGGGTGTGTTGATTAGTTGGATCTCACAGGATTAAGATAATGTCTGTAAAGCACTTACGGTGTGCCGGGCCCAGTGCTAAGTGTGGGGCAACTGCTAAGGCTTACAGGCCCCCGTCGCCCGGGGAAGTGGTGCCTGTACCGGCCCTGAGTTCTCCAGGGGTGAATCTTTTCCTGGCTTGGCTATGGAGGAGACAGGGCTATTTGTTTTGTTTTCATTTTTTTTTCTATTTTTATTTTTTTAATTCTCACCTGAGGATATGTTTATTGATTTTAGAGAGAAAGGGGGGGGAGGAGAGAAAGAAACATAGATGTGAGAGAGAAACATCAATCAGCTGCCTCCTGTATGCAATCCGACTGGGGTTCAAACTCGAAACCTAAGTAAGTGCCCTGACCGGGGATCAAACCTGCAACCCTTTGGTGTATGGGATGATGCTCCAATTAACTGAGCCCCCTTGGCAAGGGCAAAGGGGCCTCTTTGAATCAACGTTTGGACATAGAAGACTCTTCCCAAACAGATGGTAAAGTTGACAGCAAAAAGGAGGGAAAGGTACCCTGTGAGAACATTTTCTCACAGGGTTCCCCAGAGTTTTCTTGTTTTGTCTGAACTGTTACCTCTCAAAAGGAGTTCTGGCCCAGCTGCCTCCTTAAAGCAGACATGCTACCCTGACTACCACATTGACCTACCCGCCTTGGCTCCCCATTCTATAGTCTATTATATAGAATATATATAATATTCTATTATATAGAATAGGGAAGATTTGACTCTGCCTCTGCCAAGGCTGGCATTTCATTATGAATTCTGGTGTATTTTCACAGGACAGTTACTATTCACCCCTCTTCACGACGCAAACTCATGGTTCTATTTCCTTCCCCCAAATCTGCTTTGTTTATCTCTAAGAAGCCTAACTGATAGCCTACTCCAGTGAGGACAGCCACCAGCATTTCCAGAACTGATTTCTCTAGCGCCCCACATCCCGGGTGGTCCTCTGTTGAGGATACTTTACACTCTAGAAGGGCTTCTGGTTACTGAGATGAACTGGTGGAAGGAGGCCTGCCCTGCCACCTGGTGGTGGAAGAGGGCACGGTCCCCACTGCTCTCTAGCAGGGTTGTCCAACCTTCAGCCTTCTCTGGGCCACACTCAAAGAAAAGGTGTTTTGGGCAAAACATTAAATACGCAAACACTAACAAAAACTAATGAGCAGGAAAAAAAATGTTAAGTAAATTTACAACTTTGTGTTGGGCTGCATTCATAGCCATCCTGGGCCTCGGGTTGAACACCCCTGCTAGAGTTTTCTGAGGGAAGAAAGGTAGGAAGTAGAGTGAGCCTTGGAGAACGACCTGCCTCCCAAGGCAGTGGACATCCTCTCCTGGACACCAGACTGCAGTCCCGAAGGAGACCAGAATCCTTCTCTGCCCCTGTCTTCAAGGAAAGTCTCGCTAATGCTGGGCCCAAGGTCAACCCAGCTAAAGAACCCAGCTAAATCTCATCTGCCTCCTCCAGGAACTGCCTCACTTTTTTGAAGTATATTTTATTGATTATGATATTATAGCTGTCCCATTTTTTAAAAAATCAACAGTCACTTACCTATTCAGCAGTGACTCCACTCTACCCAATCCCTAAAGGTCACCATGAGACCACAGCAGGAGCAGACACAGTTCCCTTTCCAAGACCACAGAATCAACTGGAAGACAAGGAGACAAGGCATGGCTGTCGGGTCAGGCCTGACTGTGGGGACACATGCTACAGATCAGTGGTTTGCAGCTTTTGGGGGGTCCGGAACGAGAAAACGGCCGCTCTTTCATTGTCAGGCTAGTGTGCATATGGACACTCACTTCTGCGTACAATTTTAGAGACCCCAGACTTGAGGTCCACTACAGATCCCTCTCCTCCCCGACTCCTCACTCTGACTGCACAGTCCCTAAGCTCCTGAAGAGTCTGAGACAGGCACGAGTCCAACTCGATCACTCGTAGGACTGTCTGCCCTGCTGCCCATGGAGAAGGGAAATCTTGTGCCAGATTCTGTGGCATAAACTAGTTCGTCCCTTCAAGTTGAGGGTCAGAGAGGATAGGAGTAACTGCCTGCTGCTGTCCTACCCCTCTGCTGAGTCCAAAAACTGCTTTACTCAAGACAGGCCAGTGAATGGACAGAGTAAACAACAGACACACAACCATGAACTCAGACACAAATGTACACATCAAAATTATACAGGCACACCAGCTCTGATACAAGTAACAGTGGCCATAAAGACAGAGACAGATGCAAAATGCACAGATGTAAATGCACAAAGGCAAGCCCAATATACCTAAACGTAGACAAAAGGGAACCAAACTCCTATTCGGGAGAGGGTGAACTCCAGCAGCCAACACGACTCTCACGCGGGGGTGGGGCCAAGAGGGGCGGGGTCTCCGGGTTGGCTAGGGGTCAAGGGTCAGAAGGGGAGGTACGCCCAAGATGGCGGCCTCCATGGGCGACGTGTTCTCCTTCTGTGTGGGCGTGGCAGGCCGGGCTCGGGTCCCTGTAGAAGTCCGCTTCGTGAGCAGTTGCAAGGTGAGGCCGAAGAAGATTCCCCACCCCATCCAGTCTTGGAGGCAGTTCTGTGGGACCCCATGTCCGGAGCCTAGAGGCTCCGACGCTGCGGCCGGGCCACTGCTCGCGGCCGGCGGATTCTGTCTGTCCCTGCTCTTAGGCTTCCGGGGCAGTCACGCCGTGTCCCCGAGCCTTCGGAGTCTCCGTGCGCGCCCCCGTTCCAGGGAACCGGGCCCGCCTGCCGGCGGCCCTAATGCGGCTGAGTCAGGCGGGGCTGCGTGGCTGCGTGGGGGGGGCCCGGGCCTACTCGGCCAGCATGAGGGACGTGTTGCTTGTGGGTCCCGGGGATATGTTGAGCAGAGGGAGCTTTGGTACTAGAAGGCGTGGACCCTCAGGGAACTTTCTGAGTGAGATTTGGGTGGGGGTAAGGAAGGGGCTGGGAGTGCTAAGGAATTTGGATCGGAGCTTGAAGCCCCTGGGAGCATTTGAAGGGTTTGAGCAGAAGAGTGACGGTTTTGTCGCTTTATTGTTTTTTTTTAAAGTTCATTATAGAAAAAAATGGAAAGTGCACATAAAGGAAAAAGGTAAAAATCACAGTCCCGTTTTTGTGCTAATGTGCGTATAGTAAAGTAGCATTTTTAGAAACGTTTTGATGTAGCAGTATATCTTTCTTTCTTTTAATATTTTATTTATCTTTAGAGGTGAAGGGAAGGAGAGAGGGAGAGAAATATCAATGTATGGTTGCCTCCTGTGTGTCCCCTGCTGGGAACTGGCCTGCAACCCAGGCATGTGCCCTGACTGGGAATGGTTCACAGGCCCGCTTTCAATCCACTGAGCTATGCCAGCCAGAGGCAGTATATCTTTCTATATAGGTTACCCATTACTATGTATTCTTTTTTAAGAGCTAATTAATAGTTTTAGTTTATTTCATGGGAGGACCACAGTTCTTTCAACCAAACACTTATTTATGGGTGGTTGGTTGTATCTTATTTTTAACCCTGAGGTCAAAGGTCTGGAAGCTCATTTTCTGTGCAAATATCCTTTTCTCCTCTCCAGCACTGTGTATTTTCTTTCCCAGTTGTCTTTGCCAGTTAATACATGCAAAATGGTATTGCTTTGTTCTCACAATATAATGTAATGGAATTACATTTCTTTGTTTACTAAGGAGGTTGAATAATATATCCTGTGTAGGGACTTAGTGTATCCTTAGCCCTTGCCCAAGATACCAGCTTTCTCTTCATACGTCTCCTGCTGTCAGTATGTTCATATTGATCCAGGTGCCCCGCCCAACTTCCATTGCCCTCTTTCCACACAAGGGACACGTGGAGCATTCCTCTCCTTCCATGGAAAGTCAGTGCCCTGTATCCTTGGCTTCCTTAGCTGCCCACATCCCCATCTCCACCCCAGGGCCTCTAGTACTCTTGATTGGCTTACAGTTTGATGTTGTTTCAGGAGCATTACTTCTGGCATGCCAAAAATTCCCCTTTACCATTACCTAATTCCCTGTCTCACAGCCCTCTTCATTCTTCACTTTTCCCCTCTCACTTCACTACATCAGCTACTCTGCTAGTCTGATTGTCCTGTCCCAGCCTTCTATCAAAACCCCAGCTCTGGGAGAACGAGCTGGCCGGGCTCTCCATGACTACACTGATCTGCCGGAGAAAACCACATACCCACCTAGACTTAGTGACAAGATAGATTACCATGGGCTCTTTGCATCTGTATTCATCAGATAAGATTGGTTTGCGATTTTTATTTTGTTTAATTTCCCCAGATTACCACATCAGTTATGCTTATGTTTTAGTAACAGGGAGAAGCTTTATACTTCTCTCTGTTATTGAATATTTTAAATAGCATGAGAATTATTCTTTGGTTTAACAGAGCTGGCTCATAAAACCATAGTGACTGGGGGCTTCTCGTGGGGTAATTTCGACCACTTTATTGCTTCTGTGGATATTGTCAAGAATGCTTTTTAAAATTTACCAACTGCTGTGGCAGGGATGTAACTATCACAACAGAAGCGTAACCAAATACAGTGGTGCCAACTGGAAGGCCATACTGGTGCATTAGCCATAAAACAGCACTGTTACTAGTGTGTCTGGGCTTTCTTATTTTTGAATTCACTTTTGGTAATTTGTAATTTTTTAATGAAATCATCCATTTAAGATTTTTCAATTTACTACACAGTCTTAAGGTTTTGTGCAGTCTTTTTATAGAACTTATTTTTCAAACTGGAAATATATTTTCATAGTTTGTGTCCTTTCTATTCAGATTTAGTTCTCTCCAAGCTTCTTGGAAATATGAATTAGAGCTGTTTTTTTTTTAACATTTTCATATGTTTTAGGGATGAGTGGTTTTGTAGAGGGATAGCTCTGTTTCTTTTCACTTTGTTTTGATTACTAAATATTTTCTGCATTTGGTCCTCAAGAAAGAGATAGATATTTATTTAATATTGAGATTTTAAGAGTGTTAGAGATAATGCTCATATCTTTTCATCCCAGAGTGGAAGACCAAGTTTTCATTTTGCTAGATTGGATGTCGGGGCTACGAGGGCAGAAGGTAGAGGGTTTCCAGGGAGACAACCAGCTTGCACCCACGGCTTTGCCCAGTGGTTTGGTTCCAGCAGCCGCACTCCCAGAGCTGTTCTGAGGGTGGAGATTTGTGGCTCAAAGGTTGCTCGGGGCCCGTCCTGGTCTGTACTTCCCTGCTGCTCTGAATTTGGGTGGTGCCCCTGTCTAGCCAGAGCTCCAATGCTAAAAGAAACCAGGGAGCTACTCCTGAGGCCATGCTGCGGGACATTTCACTGCTGTGCTGATCATTTCCCTCCCTTTTTGTGACAGCGTTTGCAGGGGCACCACGTCCTTGTCTAAGTGAGCAGTGGGAGTTAGTGCCTGGTGGAGCCATAACTTCCCTGAGTTCTAAAGCTGTCTCCTGAATCCCTTTGCACTTCTGAGTGATAGCAGTTCAGTGATTGTTTTGTCACCCTTCATCCCTTTTGTCATGTGTGTGGTGCTCTAGACCAGTACTTTTCAAACTTTAACATGCATATGAATCACCTGGGTATCTTGTTAAAATGCAGATTCAGATTCAGCAGGTCTGGGGTGGGGCCTTGGATTCTGCATTTCTAAGTCTCCCAGCAGCTGCCCAGGGCCAGTCCATCCCCTCACTTTGAGCAGTAAGGAGCTGCAGCTCATGAGGCACAGTCCCCTGTGCTATATCATTGCATGCTGGAAACTACCTGGCTGATATTATTAAATGACTCACTTTACATGTGGGCAGCGAATGCAAAGAAATGAAGCAGTTGGCTCAACAGTTCACAGCAAAGTAAGCATTGGGATTAGTGCCAGGAATAGTCATTCCTTCCAGAGAAACCCCTGAGGAGTGGTTGGGTGCCAGGTACTATGCTCGGTGCTACGAGCACCTGCCCGACCAGGAACGGAAGGTACATTCTCCTCCACACTAGGCCTCCCTTTCCCATGGTGTAGGACTTCTTTGTGACCGTTAGCAGCAGCAGCATTGCTAGGATCCTGGTGGGGCGTGTGGGTGACTCAGAGAAGGCTGCCCTGCTGTTATCAGCTCCTGCTACAGGAAGCTCCAGCCTGCTCTGAGCCTTGGCCCTGCTCTGGCCATTCTAAAAATTCTCCTCTGGGTAGTCTGAGATGGCTGGCATCCCAGGCCCTCTCTCCCTGAACAGGCTGAAAGAAGTGTGACTGCAGGTAGGTCGGCGCTGCGTTTTCAGAGGAAGCAGGGGTGGGGGTGCTGACTATGCTTCATGAACCCTCCAGTGGCAGAGGCCTCTGCTGAGAGGTAGCCTGTGGGGGGAGGCTGGACGGCCCTCCTGGAGCCGTGGAACCACGTGCTCTGTCTCCTCTAATGGCCATCCTGTTCCTTCTCTGCCCTCTTAGGGAAAGGGGCTCTTTGCCACACAGCTGATCCGGAAGGGGGAGACCATCTTTGTAGAACGGCCCCTGGTAGCCGCACAGTTTCTCTGGAATGCACTTTATCACTACCGAGGTGAGCACGTCTCTCTCATTCTGCACGGCTGCTGGGCCCAGCGGCCTCTGTGCAGGGAAAAGAGCTGTGCACACCCCTGCTGGCGGGAGTCCCTGGACTGTCAGGAGGAATGCTGCCTCCCTTGGAGAGCCACCCCCCATCTGATCTCTGCTGCTGGGGGCTGTGAGCCTGTGGGAAAGAGGCTCTTCCAAGGTGCTCCCTGGGGAGGAATGTCACTCAGGCGCAACTCAGAGTCTAGTCCAGTCATAAGGGACTGGACGTTATGCTGAAGGGCTCCGTGCCAAAGTGGAGCCCTGTACCCGGAGGAGGCCATATACTCCTTGGTTAAAAAGGCTGCATTGGGGGTTAGAAACTGGCCACTTGCTTTTCCCCCTACGCTTGTCTTAGGCCAGGGACAAACTGTGGAAGGAAGGTCACTTTTTTCCAGAATGTGGGGAAAGGCCAGTGTGAGGGAGGGAGGGAGCCCCACAGACTGTGCTCCGTTGAGAAGCAGGTTCCATGGACACGCAGGGTGAAGGAGGAGGGAGTCAGCCACCTTTGAATGCATGTGAACTTTATTCGTTCATTTTTTAAAAATAATTCTCTTTTAAAAAATATTTTATTTATTTATCTTTAGAGGGGAAGGGACGAAGAGAGGGAGAGAAATATCAATGTATGGTTGTTTCTCATGTGTCCCCAGCTGGGAACTGGCCTGCAACCCAGGCATGTGCCCTGACTGGGAATCGAACTGCGATCCTCTGGTTCGCAGGCCCGAGCTCAATCCACTGAGCTGCACCATCCAGGGCAATTCATTCATTCTTTAATATGTTCATTTGCTCACTTCCCAAACATTGTGAGTACCTACTATGTGCCCTGCACTATTCTAGCCCTGTCAAAAGGATAAGTGTGGCCCCTACTCTTCAGGACACACCGTCATGTCTGGCTCTCTCCCGCAGCCTGTGACCACTGCCTGCGGGCACTGGAGAAGGCAGAGGAGAATGCCCAGAGGCTGACCGGGAAACCTGGCCAGGTGCTGCCACACCCTGAGCTGTGTGCTGTGCGCAAGGACCTCCACCAGAACTGTCCCCACTGCCAGGTGAGTGTCCTGGGGAAGAGTACCTGAAAAGGACTGATGGGCGAGACCTTAGCTGAAGTCCTCTCTGGGGAGACAGGAGCAGGGATGGACCTGGTCACTGCCCTTGAGAGCCACAGTAGGATAGGACATAGGCAAGGCTTGGCTACTGTTCAGTTTCACCCTTTGTGTTCCAGGCCCATTGTCTATGAGACGGGCTGGGTGGAAGCTTGCCTTCTTCCTAAGAGCCTGGCCGAGGCTCTCCCCTCTACTGCTCTTCTCTCTTTCTTTCACATGGTTTTACAAGCCTGGGTTAGTAGGTATCCCCAGAGCACTGTCTGCTTTCTCAGGTCACAGTACTGCTGAGCTACTGCTCAGGGGCTGTTTGTGGAAGGGATGCAGTTAGAAAAGGTGAGTATCCCATGGGACACCTGTGCCTCACCCCATGGCCAGATCCTGGGGTGCTGACCCCCACCCCCTCCAACAGGTGATGTACTGCAGTGCGGAGTGTCGGCTGGCAGCGGCTGAGCAGTACCATCGGGTCCTGTGCACAGGCCCCTCCCAGGATGACCCCCTGCATCCTCTCAATAAGCTGCAGGAGGCATGGAGGTAGGTGGCATTTCATCTCTTCTTTTCTTTACCTCTCTCTCATTGCCTGCCTGGGCTCACCAGATAAACCATTTTTCTTAAGTTACCATCCCCCAGATCCCCCCCTCACCACCACTCTTAGGGTTAAACAGAGGTCACATCACCCAGCTCACTGCCTGGTCTAAGCTGCCAGTCCCACCATCCTTGCCATTTTATACACTTCCCCAAAAAGCCTTATGAAGCCCATAAGAATGTGAAGTCCTGTCCAAGTCCTTGCAAATGACTCTCTGTCTTAAGTTATGAATGAGGTGAATAGGAAGGATTCTTTGCAGCAGTCAGGTGGGATTTCCTTGAAATCAGCTACTGGGGAGGGAATTTCTAGGCCACACCTTTTCCTTTCTCCCCAGGAGTGTTCACTACCCCCCCGAAACCGCCAGCATCATGTTGATGGCTCGGATGGTGGCCACAGTGAAGCAGGTAAGCCCGCCTGATGCTTGCAGGGAGGCTGACGCTGGCCTCATTCAGCTCTGGGCCTTCTCCTCCTCGCCTCAGAGCGCTGGCTTGGATGCAGGATTCCACCTGGGCTTTCCAAACAACAGCTGCTCACCGCAGGTCTTAGGAGTCGCTCACCATAGGAGTCTGTCGGGGCGGTGGGGCTCATCTTGCCTGTGGTGTTTGGCTTCTGAGAGGACTTCCTGTGCAGCAGCAGTTCACGCATTCAGTTTGTAAACACCACTTTTTTAGGATTGTGTCTCTTAAATAAAGCGAGAGAAGCCATAGTAACCCCTTCTGTTAATATTGTTGCTCCTCAGCCTGATTCTCCTGTTTTTCCAAGTGCAGTTGAATTGGCTGGACGGGCCTCAGTTGGGGAGACGGTTGGGGCTTTGCGGGGTCCGGAGGAAGTCCCTAGTGAGGGGAAGGCTCTGCCTAGAAGCCCAGGTATGGTGGTGTTTCTCTGATGGCAGGGGCTTTAGAAACGTAGGCTAACCGCACCCCCCCCCGCCACATGGGTGACAGTGGCAGTAAGGACACAGATGTCCGTGCGTCCAAGTGTACATGTGCATTTGTGAATGTGACTCTGAAACCTTTGTTCACTGCAGGCTAAGGATAAAGATCGTTGGGTCAGGTTCTTCTCTCAGTTCTGTAATAAAACGGCCAATGAGGAGGAGGAGATTGTCCACAAACTCTTGGGGGACAAATTCAAGGTTGGTCTTCTCCCATGACCCCTCCACCCCAATGGCCTGGGATAGTCTGTGGTTTCCTAAGGGGAGTTCCACATTTGGTCCCTTCTAGCCAGAAGTCTATTCAGAGGACTTACATTCTTGCCGCTGTTTAACTTTGTGACCTAATGTGGATCTAAAACTGGGAAGTGGGGTGACAACAGAGGAAGGAGAGGTGCTCTGGTATGGAAAAGCAGGGCCTCGTGATGGGACAGCGGTAGGCAAGTCAGGTTTTACAAAAAACGGAAGGCTCCCCAGCCACTGGGGGTCTGCAGGGTCAGGGAGCGGGGAAGGCTGGGGGTCTGCAGGGTCAGGGAGCGGAACGAAACAGAATTTTAGCTGCCAGTGTACTGAGTACATTGTACCCACGTTAAACCCATGTTTAACATGTACCCACTCCCAATCAAAGAATTACAGTTTCTCATTGAGGACAGCAGGTTCCACACAGGAGCTGCCTGAAGGTGGAGGCAGATGTGTAAAAGGGCATTGGGGGTGGCCTTCCTACATTGAATTCTGAGGGTAGGAGGGGCAGAGTCAGGCTGGCCTGCAGGTTGGGTAGGGAGTCTGGAGGTTGGTGGTGAGGACAGATGTTCTAAGCTAGGTGTCCTCAGCCCTGCTGGTACGGGTGCTGGGAAACAGGGGCTTGGCGTTTCCCACTCTGAGCTGAAGCAGGCCAGTGGACTGCCGTGCCTCTTTGGAGATGCGGACTCTGGCCTTCCTTTGCCCTCAGGGAAAACTCAGTCTACAGAGATGGCCCTTTTCCTTCCCTCACAAGGTCTTCAGGGCCCTGCCTGGGTGCTAACTCAGAGATGCAGGTCTCCCCGTTTTTCCTAAACCAGGGCCAGCTGGAACTTCTGCGGAGACTCTTCACAGAGGCCCTTTATGAAGAAGTACTCAGCCAGGTGAGGAGGAGGAGGGTGGGACCAGTGTCCTCCCAGTTACTCCAGCCGTTCAGGAGTGACTAGGTCAGCATTTTCTACTGGGACAGCTACACCAGTGCTGTCCCGGAGTAGGGAGGGACTGACTCACCAAAGAACTCCTTAACAGAGTTGTTTTCCGGAAGAAAAGCCAGCGGCTGTAACCTGAGTGCTCATCTCTCTCTCACCCCACAGTGGTTCACCCCAGATGGATTCCGGTCTCTCTTTGCTCTTGTTGGGACAAATGGTCAAGGAATCGGGACCAGGTTAGGAGACAGTGTTCTGGATATATTGGATTTGTCCCTTGGGCTCTGGTGGGAAATTGACAGTTCCTTTCAAGATTAGGCTGGGGCAGGGTGCGACTTTGTGGCCAGAGTGCTAAACTACACATGGTGATAGCGATCACTGAGCCGATGGAGTCTGTGCTTCTTGGGAGCTTCGGTCTATTGGGGAAGATGGGGCCCCACCCTGGAGAAAGAAATGGGTTTAACGTGTGTGGAGGAGGAAAGCCCTGTGAACTTGGCCCCTGCTCTCCAACCATGGCTGCCTGGGATCCCCAGCTCCCTGAGCCAGTGGGTCCATGCCTGTGATGCTCTGGAGCTGAAGTCTCAGGACCGAGAGCAGCTGGATGCCTTCATCGACCAGCTGTACAAGGACATCGAGGCAGGTTGGTGAGATGGAGACATGCCCGGCCCCCCCCCCAGTCAGGTGGTGGATGCAGTCTTCCCCCAAGGACCTCCGAGTTAATGGCAGGGGACATGATCCTGCAGGCCTGTGGAAGCTGCAGATCTGTCCAAGGGACAGATGAGAAATGGTCCTGAGATCCACGCAGAGGTGCAGTCTCTGTGGGTGGGGGGTGCCAGACAAATAAAAGTGCTGTCGTTTATAGAAAGGCAGAGCTTGTGCCTCAGAGATGTAGTAAGTTCAGGTGAATTGGTAGGGATCAGGTGCATCAGTGTGGTAGGGGGCAAGACAGTGAAGCAGTATTTTTCCTTGAAAAGCTAGTTTTCTTCTCCCTGTAAAGTGGGTAGAATAACATCTGCATATTACTTCTTACAGCAACTGGCGAGTTTCTTAACTGTGAAGGATCAGGCCTCTTTGTGCTTCAGAGCTGCTGTGAGTCTTGGCATTGAGGAGGGGCGGGCTCATAGTCATGGTTCATCTCTTTCTGTTCACCTCTTGGTGGATGGGTTGAGTTGGGGCGTGTGGTTAGATCTGAGCTCCTTGGAGAGTCCTCTGGTACTTTTTTGGTCCATCAGTTGTTCATCCATTCATTCATTGGACTGCTGGCGCCTTAATATACAGGGTCTGGCAGAAGTAGCGCCTGCTTAAGTATGGTTGGTAGGGTAATAATATGGGTATAATAGTTTATAGTTTTAATTTGAACATTTCACCTAAGATGTCATATGGTGTGCTTGTGATATTGTTATGTTACAGTATTACATGCTTATGATTTTGTAATAAAAGATTTTATAATAAAGAAGAGGCATTATTTGTGCCGGACCTTGTATATTTATATAGAAGACCTTCGGTGGGCAAGACCCTGTGCTCTGGCAGGGCACTGAGCTGTGACCCTCAGAGGAACCGTGGCTGTGTACCACCAGTGCCCTGTGAATTTGGCAGGGAGTGTTGCAAGAGCCTGAGAGGCCCTCGGGATCCTGGGAGGAGGGAGCGCAGGCGGTCCCCACCTGCCGAGGAGGGTAGAATCAGCTCAGGCCATTGTCTGTGCTAGATCCAGCCTCCCGCCCCCGGGCTTCCTCACTGCAAACCCCTCTACGCATGTTGCAGGGCCACTGTACCCTCCCCAACCAGGCTCTCAGAGGGCCTGGCTCAGCTGTTACCAGGTGTTCAGCAGCAGACAGGACTGAGTTAGTGGTTTGACATGGACAGCCCTTTTGTAGCCCTGTGCCTCCCTTTGCGAGACATGGGGGACGCAACTGAAAATCATGGTGACCAGTGAGGAGGAAAGCAGTGGCAGGCATGGACAGTGGCAGAGGGAGTGATGTGGGCACGATTTGTGTCTGTGCTCGAGGAAAGAGCACTGGACAGGGAGTTGGGAAATTTGAGTTCTAGGACCTGCGCAGCCCTAGCTGGGGTCAGACAACGAGAAAGGATGGGACCTAGTGCTCTCCAGAGTTGAGGCTGTTAATGTTTGTTAGTCAGCAGTCCTAATGACCTGCCTCTCATGACCCAGGCAACCACAGCTGTGTCCCCAATGCAGAGACCTCCTTCCCAGAAAACAACTTCCTCTTGCATGTCACTGCCCTGGAGGACATTAAGCCAGGAGAGGTGAGGGGCTGGGAGCTGTGGGGAGCATGGGTAGTGGCAGTGGGCTTTGCAGGCTCTCTCCACAGACTGGGAGCAGCAGTGGCTCGGGCCAAGTTCGGGGTGTTGAGTTGAATCCCCCGGGCCCCAGGGAAGGAGACTTTCTGCCCATGGATATGCTCTGACCCCACCCCACTTCTTGAAAAACTAACACCTCAGAGCAGTGTTTGAGAGACTGCTGTATGCCAGGTTCTTGTCTCTGGACACCTTTTTTCTCTTTTTTTAAATCCTCACATGAGGATTTGTTCTTTTTGATTTTACAGAGAGAGGAAGGGGGAGAGAGAGAAACACTGATTGGTTGCCCCTTGTATGTACCCTGACTGGGGATCGAACCTGCAACCTAGGTATGTGCCCTGACTGGGAATTGAACCCGAAACCTTTTGGTGTACGGGACAATGCTCCAACCAACTGAGCCACCTGGCCAGGGCCCCAGCTATCTTTAGAGGAACAAATCTGCAGCTTCTGAGAAAGTTGGAGGTGGCTCTTTGTGGTTTGGGCTATGAGGAGCTAGTGTGGGTCTGGGGTCCTGGCTGTTAGCGTAATACATAGCTTGCCTGAATCTTCTACCAGGGCAAGTAGCATCACACCAAGATAACTTCTGCACCCTGCCACAGACCTTGCCCCTTAATACCTTTAACCGTGGCCTGAGGCCAACTGCCGTCCTCGCTGCCTCACGCATTAGAGCCTCGGAGCAATCTGTTTGCTGAGGGCACGGGAATGGATCAGGGCAGTGCACTGGGGCCCCGGGGACAGGGCAGAAGGTGGGGACAGGGTCGTGGTTGGGGAGGCCCTAATTCTATATAACTGAGAGCACAGACTGTGAGAACCCACTTCTCTGCCCTCCAGGAAATCTGTATCAGCTACTTAGACTGCTGTCAGCGGGAGCGCAGCCGCCACAGCCGCCACAAGATCCTCAGGTGCCAGCTGGGGACGAGGTGGGCAGCTGGGCTCGGGTCCTCCATCCCAGCAGCTGCCTGAGTTTTCACCCTCCGCCATCCTCCTACCCCCTGCAGGGAGAACTATCTGTTTGTCTGTTCCTGCCCCAAATGCCTGGCAGAAGCTGATGAACCCAACGTGACCTCAGAAGAGGAGGATGAAGAAGAGGAGGGAGAGCCAGAAGATGCAGAGCTGGGGGATGAGATGACTGATGTGTGATGTCACCCGGCTTGGAAGGGGCCCTGCCCCAGACTCTGCCAGAACAGGGGGTCTTCCCCCAGAGAAGAGGCCTGGATGGAACTCCCCACTCCTGTTGCCTGCTTCCCCCAGTCCAGCTCTGTTTCTGCCACAGGGTAGGACAGAGGCTGGTCCCTTGGCCCCCCATGTCCCACCAGACCTCATGTGCTGGACATTGCTGCTGAATGGCTCAGATCCTGCACTGTCACTGAGCCTTTCAGAATTGTCCCCCCACTGCAGTTCTCCACTCTAGAGTGTGAGCAGCTGGGACCAAGGTCAGCGCCTAACAGTGTTTCTTGCCCCTTGGTCCCATGGCCACGCCTGCCCGTCGCTCCGAGGCTTTACCTCTCTCTACTTGCTGTGGAGAGGGTAGCAGAGTGGCAGTCAGAACAGCCTTACTTTATTGAAGAACAGAGCGGGGGGTGAGTTGCCCTCACCTCCTTCCCTACCTCCCACCATTGCAGCTGATAAGGCAACTGCCTGACTGTTAGCACAGCCGGAGGAGCAGGAAGGAGGGGCTGGGCCTCCAGAGCACTTTCCTAAGGCTCTTTGCAGGGGTGCTGGGCAGGGAGAATTCCCTCCCTCTCCCCACCTCCTCACTCCCACCACCTACACTTCTCGGGGTGTGGAGATTAACCCCTTCCCCAAGCTCTAGAATCTCTATCTTGTGCCTTGCCTCTCAGCCCTGGCACAGTGGTGGGCCCCATGGGGTATGGAAATGGCCTCTGCCTCCCTCAGGAGGGTTATGTGGGGGAGCATCAGCCCGTCCTCACATGCTCTTCCCGTGAGGACTCCAGCAGCATGGCTGAGACCTGCGGATGCCTGGCCTGTGCTCCTTAAGTTATGTTGCTCTAGTCGTCCCTGGGACGGCTCTCCTGGCCTCCATCTCTAGAGTCTCCACAGAGGAACAATGAAGTCTTCCAGAAACCTAGAGGAGCTGGGCTAGGTCCTCAGAGATTAGCCCAGACTGTGCCCCCATCCCCAAATTAGCAGTACTCCTCACTCTTGGCGTGGGTGCTGTAGGAATTATAACCCTTCACTCGCAGTTCCTTTCTGCCTACCTTCCCTAAGGGGTCCTCACATCTCCCTGCTAAGGGGTCCCAGGAAGGCAGATGGCTGCCCACAGGCCCTTCCCTGGATTATGAGCCAGGCAGAGCCTGCCTCTCTGGCCCGTTGGGTTCTTCCTCCTTCACAGCAGCTGGCATCCCCTCCCGCCCCTGCCTGCCCACTGTTCTCAATAAAGTGTGAGTGGCGAGAGGCCTCTGAAGGAATGCTTGGTGGAGCAGGACGCGCCAGAGCGCCAGAGCACGCAGCAGAAGGGTACGTGGGGTAGACCAGGTAAAGTGGGAGTGGTAATGGAGGTGGGAGCTCAAGCTCTCCAGTTGGGGCTCATCCCTGGTCTTGCTTCCACTCTGCTTTGCTGATGTTCTAAAGCCCCAGAGGACTATGGCTCCTAAGATCCTAAGCAGAAGGCTGTGTTGGGACCCAGGACAGCAGTCTGAAGGACCTTGGACAAGTCTTCCACCCTCTCTGGGCCACAGTTTCCTCCCCTCAATACAAGGGCATCTGGCCAGTAGAGGTCAAAGGCTCCCCACCCCCTCCTGTGCTCTTACTCTAGGACACGTTGCAACCCTGATCAGAGGCTTTATTGCTAAAAAGTCAGTGAGGGTTTATTAAGTCCACGAACACGAGCTCTTAAACCACTCCAGCAACTGCTGTGAAGGACACTGAGGAGATGCTGGGTGGGGAGGCTAGAGTCAGTGGGATGTGATAGGTCATGGGCCTTTTGCCCCTGTTCCAGATTCAGGCCAAGAAGCCCTGGGACATGGGTCTTGCATCTTCCCATAGCCTGAGACAACCTTGGGGGCCCCCGGGGGAAGGGAAACAATGGCGTGGCTTCCCTTAGCCTAGAGCAGGCCCATTCCTTCTTCCTCTACCTGGCTCCGCCGGTCCGCAAGTGTTGTCTCCAAGTCCCATACAGCAGAATTCCTGGATTTCCCCTTTCCAGCCTAGAGTTGCTTTATGGGTGGAAATTGGGACCGACTCTTCTACCAGAAGGTCCAGGGCGGTTGCAGCAGCTCAAAGGTGGGGATGCTGGTGACATTAACTGGGATGGAAATGATGGCCCATGGCAGCCCGTGCTGTTCCAGGGAGCGGCGGATCATGTAGCTGGTAGGGCATGAAGAGAGGTGGTGATGGTCACTTTCTCAGCATCCCATTATGCCCCACTGTCACTCCGGGAGTTCCAGAGCCCAAGGACTTTTTGGCCTTCCAACTGGGGCCCCCCAAGATGAGGCTTCTGGGAAGGGACTGGTGATTGCCCTTGACCTCCCCAAGTCATGGCACCCAGCCTAGTGCTGACACCCAGAGACAAGGAGCCCTCACCCATCTCGGCCAAGCAGGAAGAGGGCAGGTATGTCAGCCGTGCGCTGGGTGCTGTCCTGGATCATCTCCACGTAGAAGCTGTCGTTGTCGACTGCATTGTCAGAGATGATCACTGCCCGCCCACCGTGCTCCTGCACCACCCGGGTCTTGGAGAGGAAGGAGCAGCCCCTGGAAAAGGTGATGAGATCAAAGGAAAGGCAGGGTTTAGCTACCCCTCCCCAAAGCTGTCGCCCTAGAAGGATGAAAGGAGGACCATGGGTAATTTTTAATAAGGACTTATAAATAAATGGCCAAAAGTCACAGATAATCATAAAGACTCTTAGAATGATTATTTAAAAACTCTTTCAAAGGACCACCAGCACCATCAATCTTAGAATCTACCATATTCGTGCCCTCCCCTACTGGTGCCTGTCCGCTTCTCACCCCCTCTCCACCAGAGCAATCTGGTCCTGGATGAAGAAACCGTTGCTGAGTTCTCCACAGGCCTCTGCAGGTTCAGCGGGGACAAGGTGGATCTGCTCATACCTTGTGTGCTGGAAGACATGGAGACGGGTCAGAGTGTAACGAGATGCACCTGCTTTGAGACCAGGCTGTCATCCCGTGGTGATAGATCACCTCCTCACAAGATGTGAAGGGAAGGTGTGGAGTGGTTTCTGTGTGCTGGGCTCCTCAATTTCACAAAGGCTTATCCAGTTGTTCTACCCTTTTCCACGAGATAGGCGGGACAGTTGATATGGACCCAGAGAAAGGGAGTCACGTCGTTCAGTCCCATCATTCAGAGGCAGGACTATCAGGGCTCTTGGTTTTTCACCATTTCATGTTCCCAAAGATAACTGGTCCCAACACGGTGCCCAGGTCTGTATTACTCCCAGGGAGGTAGCTGGAAGCCCTTCCTACCCTGCAGAGATAGAGCTGGATTCTGCTCCCTTCCCTGCCCCAGCACTCAGGTGTTGGTTGAAGGGATGCGAAGGGTTGTCTCAGCTTAGTGGGGAGAAGACGGCTACAGGACCAGAGTGGGGGGGCCCTCCCTGAACTTACAAAGATACCACCAAAGTCCTTGGCAGGCGTAGCTGTGAAAATGTATCGAATGTCTCCAGGACTCAGCACTTGGAAGTACAAATAATCATGGATTCGTAAGCCTGAAAGATAGAGAAGAGAGGTGAGAAGCCTCCATAGACCCCACGGTCTTCAGTAAGGTGCCTATAGTCTGGGCCCAGGGACCCAGCTTCAGCCAAGTGGGTCCTCCAGGCGACAGGGCAGGATAGATGGCCCCTGCCCTGGGGAGGATAGAGTTGGTGCACAGTGAGTAATCCTGGGGGTTTACAGCTGCCACTGCTCACGGGGAGCCAGGAAGACTGAGAGCTCTAGTCTTATCTGAGTGTTAATCTATTTTAGCTGTGGTGTTACCTCTCTGAGGATTAATCTGTCTTTGCTCTCAAGTGCACCTGAAAGTTTCGAGGTGGAGGATGTGGTAGTCTAGGTACAAAACAATTCTCACTAAAACTTAAAAGCTGACTCCAGCCCTGGCCAGGATGGCTTGGTTGGTTGAAGCGTCATCCTGTAACCAAAAGTTAGCCAGTCTGATTCCCAGTCAGGGCACATGCCCGGGTTGTGGGCTCAATCTCTGGTTGGGGTGCCTGCAGGAGACAACCAATGAGTGTTTCTCACATCCATGTTTCTCAAATGAGAATAAAATAAATCTTTTTTTTTAAAGATTTTACTTATTTATCTTTAGAGGGGAAGGGGGGAAGGAGAGAGGGAGAAAAACATCAATGTATGGTTGCCTTTTGTGTGTCCCCTGCTGGGACCTGGCCGGCAGGGAACCGGCCTGCAACCCAGGCATGTGCCCTGACTGGGAATCGAACCGCGATTGTGTGGTTCGCAGGCCCGAGCTCAATCCACTGAGCTACACCAGCCAGGGCTAGAATAAAATAAATCTTTAATAATAATTTAAAAATTGACTCTCTGGTCCCACTGCCATCCTTCTAGTCCACCACTACCATTTCTTGTCCTGACTAGCCTATCTTCCTCTATTCTTGCTCCCTAAGGTCCACTCACCAAACAACAGCCAAGCACTTTCTTTTTTAAAAAAAACATTTATTTTTAGAGAGAGGGGGAGGGAGGGAGAAAGATGAAAAGAAACATCAATGTGTGGTTGCCTCACACACCCCCAGCTGGGAACGGAATCCACAACCTGGGCATATGCCCTGACTGCGAACTGAACCCATGACCCTTTGGTTTGCAGGCCAGCACTCAATCCACTGAGCCACATGAGCCATGACCTTCTGAAAGCAACTTAGCAAATATGACCATGTCACCACACCCATGGCTTCAGTCCCATCAATAGCTTCCTTTTGCACTTAAAATCTAAACGCTTAACTATGGTCTGCAAGGCCTTGCTCCATCGAGCCTTTGGCTATGAGAGCCGCTGCCACAGGTCCATCAGTCAATCAACAAACCACCAAGCCACTACTGTGTGCCAGGGTTGGGACTGATTATGGCTTTAGTTGTCCCTGCCTACTGCCCAAATCATAGTCAACAGTAGAGCGCCTCTGCCTTGGCACGGGGCTATGCATCCTATTACTCTGGGAGTGAGGACTTGCCATCCGATACAGATACACTCCCAGGAGCCTTCCTGGATTAGCACTAAACTCACCCCCCCCCCTCCACCCCCATCTTTGCCTAGCCTTAGCGTCTGCTGCTGATCTGTGGAAATTAAGCGTGGTATACATACGTGTATGGCCATACATATTTCTGTGCTCTTGTAGGTGCAAACAGGTTGTCTGTACATCTGTCCTTGCATGCGAGCACACATGTAGGAGTGTGTTCCTGTATATGTATGTTAGCACTCACATGCATTTACAGGAACACACATACATATACAGGAACATATAAGGGAACTAGCACGTGGGATCTTTACTTGTCCCTTGTTCCTTCTCTTGGTAGCTCCCTCAGCCACAGGGGTCAGCATTAGTCGGGGTAGGCGAGAGTCTTGCTTTGACGTGGGGAGATGAGGCTCGGAGCCCAGCCCCAGGCCGCACCAGGCTCAAGTTCCTGAGGACCAGTACCCACCCACTCCAACTGCCCGAACTCGCGGGGTCCCCAAGGTGACCTGTGGCCCCCAGCCCAAGCCGCGCACAAGCTGGACGGCCCGCCCCGCAGCACAGCCCCGCCGGTTGCCGCTCACCGTGGGCCGCGACGCACGCGGGGAGCCAGAGCACGAGACAACACCAGCCCACAGCACCGAGGACCATCTCCAGGGCCCGGCCGGGCGCCGCGCTTCCTACAGCCACCAGCCGCCGCTCGTTGCTCGCGGGACTTCAGCCTGACAGCTGCTCCTGCCTCCCGCCCCCAGACCCGGTCCCGCCGCTGGTTAGTGGGTGGAAACGAGGCCCACGGCTGATTGGCTATGACGCCTGTTCTTGAAGCCACACTTTCCGCCTCTGCGCCTTAGTCCACTCTCTATTGATTAACAGAAGTGGGGCTAAGGGCTGATTGGTCTAAACTCTTAATAGCAAAAGCCGCCCCCCCTCCAGTCCCGCCCCAGCATTTCTCAGTTTGGATTGGACTCGGAGGACCTTGCGGCTAATGTGTGGGCTGGCAGGGATGACAGAAAACTGGAGGTGGGCTCTTGGGAGCACTCGCTTCAATCGATGAAAGTCCTGGTTTTCAACTCTTGTGGTCACGGCGGAATTCTTCCCGGGGCTGCCTCGCACGACAATGAATTTGTTTTCTCCCAGCTACGCTTTTCTCCTCCCCGACCCCTTCTTGGAAAAGCATTTGTCTAGCGCCCAGGTGATCTCTGGCGATCCCGCGCTGCTCTTCCCTTGCCCAGTCCCACCACTGCTTTCGCGGCCCCAGTAGTAGGAGCTGGAGAAATGG